CAATTCGTTATGTCCAACCATCATATACGCGAGTGGGGCACGCACAACAGAGCATGCTTCAGGGAGAGCGGGGAAGCGGCAAGAGGTGGATACGAATGAGACACGCACGAATGTCAAACCGGTACAGCATTCGTGCGTCAACACCCTAACTTATACCAGCGAAACCGGTCATACCGTTCATACACTCACCAGTGTAGATGCGAGGGACGCCGCCAACTTGTGTGGGAGTCGAACCCACAAGTGCACGGAATGCACCCAGCCCTGCAAGCGTGTCGTTGCGCGGCTAGACAGCCGCTCAACGCTGGCATTTAACGCCATCCAGGGGCGGCTAGATGGAAGTGAAGGGAGGGGACAGGTGCAAGCCATAGCGAAGTTGGACGACGTGCAGCGGACGGCAGCGCAAGTGGATGAACACGCAAGAACGAGTCATTCCTGCAGAGCCGTGATGAACGTTGTTCGACCTTCTGTCTTGGTGGTGATGGTACCGGTGACGGTGAACGAGTCGTAAGCAGCGTACGCCATACGATCATTATCGTCTGCGAAGCTGGTGCTGCCGAAGAACTCGTCGTAGTTCGGCAACTGTTGCATGACGGCAATGCTGTCGGTGCACACCGGATAACTGCGGCTGCCGATTGTGAGGACGAGCGGGAGGACCGGTAGTGAGCCGACTACAGTGACAGAAGTGGGGTTGGGTGACAGGGTGGCCGAGGCGTGTGGACCATCCGACGGTAAAACAAGGGCACTGCGGCTACGCTGCTCCCAAGCCAATACCATATCAGTCGTGTCGGCGGGCACGGTGGCCGCGGTAGTCCGCTGAACAGCCGCCTGGAAGGTGTGCACTCGTTTGGGAGGGCGCTTGCCGGGGGCACTCGCTGCTGCTACAAGCGAGCCGCTGAGGAAGACGCTATTCATATAAGCTTTGCTATTGGAGGGGCTGATCTTGGCACCATACACGTAAAGGGGCGTGCTGCTATCGGCCGCTGCTTGTAGCTGAGCGACGAAGTCGTCGGGAGCGGATTCCCTGATGGCGAGCTCCACGCGTCCGGCGTCGGGACTGTCACCGTTGCCGCACGCGACCCACGCCTTAAACTTGCGGAACGGCCCGCCCCGGAACATCCCGCCGTGTGGGATGAGCAGGAGGGCGCTGCCATCCGACGCGTGCTTGTCTTCGGGGCGGGCCCTGTCGCTGCCGACATCGTAAACGGGG